GTGTCAAATTTTGCTTGCATCCGTGTAAATTGCATAGGCGCGGGTGAACTAAATGAACAGCTACTCCTCACAAAACTTGATCGTAGTGTTCGAGAAGCAATCTTTAATTGTGTAAGTTTTAAGGTTTTCACGGCGATGACTATGAAGAAAGTCGTCTTCTGGGATCTGGCGCCGAGTATTCTTGGTTTTAATCGACGTTTCGGAGGAACATATCGCCTCCATCTTCAGGGTAGTTGAGTTGCGTGCGAATACAGATAGCTGTAGCTGTTTTGCGTATTTAGGCGATGCATATTTAAGGATGGCTTCCGCTCTACCGGGGTCAGAAATTACTCCCATCTCGTTAATCCCATGGCCCAAAAAAATAATTTCACCTCGGCAGAATAGACACTTTGTCAAATGTAGTGTAACATCTGCCCTGGTAAGCTTTCACGTTACCAGATCTAGGTGAAATGAGTGCTCTTAGGATGACCTGGATTGTACCAAAATATAATCAATGTGAAATATGACAAACCCCTTTCTCTAACTTCTCAACGCAAATTTTAATGCTCGGACAAAAGCAGATAATGCGTTTTCACAACCGCATGGGTCCCGTTTATATAGATACACCATCGAGTCAAATAATTGGACTCAAACAGGCAAAGGGGTTTATATCAGGACCCTCTGCCATAAGAACGAAGGATCTGTTGAAATAAAACACAGATCAATTAAGATAGTTGGTAGGATTACTTACTGGACACTGCCACTTAAAGGACACATTTTCAAACTGGGACTGGCAGATGACCCAATCTGTGAAAGGTGCCTACAAAAAGACGAATCAGCCACACGTATCCTATGCGATTGTGAGGCCATAGCTTACTTAAGATTTCGTCACCTGGGTCAGTTCTTCATGGAACCAAGTGACTTTTATGACCCCCCCATAAATAAAGTCCTACATTTCATTCGAAGTGTAGGATTAATAAAGTCTTAATCCAAAGGGGAAACACAAAAGATCATTGAAGGTTGTAGCGTGAGGGCCGGATATTATGGCCCATCCCTTACACACATACACACATACATGGAGTCAATTAAAAATGCAGCGTAGTTGTGCGAATTTTCGTATAATAGAATTTAGAAGTATGCGGAAATTAGATCGGGTGACGTCATTAACGTGGCTCAGTGATTTTTTTAGTGATAACTCCTTTAAAATTGACGTAGGCTCTCTGTCATGGTCAGAGTACTGATTAACCCTTCTGACGTTTACATAAGTCTCCCTATGTATATGCTCTCGTTAAGGGATTAGATCTAAAAATTTGTGACGATGGTATAATAACACAGTTATTGTTTCTCTGGACATTATCCACCATCTTGTTTTCATTTAAAACGCACATTTTGGAGACTGGATTCTGTCTTCGTCTTCCTGTGGAATCTACACAGTTGGGCCAAATCGATAGAACTAGTCTCCAAGTCCCGAGATAGGGACTAACTCTATCGATTGGGCCAGAGTAGATTCCACCTGAAGACGGAAGCAGAATTCAGCCTCCGAAATAATAAACAAAAACAGTAAAATTGATAATTATTATTATTATTATTTCTTATTTAAACTGCAAATGTGTTTTTACCCGGTGGCAATGGTACTACAATAATGCACAACACAAATAAAACACATCACACAAAATAGCACACCACACTCAAAATACAGCACACAAAACTGCACAAACAATAAAGGGCACACTACACACAACGAATACAAGGCAAATAAAATTACAACTACAATTAAATAAGTTAATATTAATAAAAATTATACTATACAGTAAACAGAAATAATAATGAAATAAGAAATGTCATGAACTGATGCACCCACATTTCAACGTGATCTTCCTCTCATTGCTCTTCACTACATTTACGCACCCTTCACATCCTCACCACAGTTTCCTTCCCTTCCTTTTCCTTCACTTCACTTCACTTCAGTTCACCTCATTTTTGGCGATTGCCTCCACATATTCACTTCGCCTTATTTATCACTTTTCTAACCATTTTCCTAAAATTTCTTGATTTACGGGAAAGAGTTCCTAACGCATCTGCAGGTAGGTGGTTCCAGAGCTAGATGGAGGAATATTTCCCGATATCTGTTCGTTGCTTTCTGCTCCTAATTTTCCTATCATGATCGCCCCTGCTCAGATAGCATGGCCTTTGTAATCTATCGCCTATAGCCTTCCAACCCCGTCCTCCCGTGCATGCATATTAATTGCTGAAGGAACTCATAACTACGAAGAAGCCTTTGGTCCACTTCTGCCGATACATCTCCCGCAGTCTCTCTATCCAGGTGATTCATAACATGGCGGCAGAAATGTGACGACGCCCCAGAATGTTTGAGGTGGTAATTTAGGCAGCGCATACAATTCCAGCATGTCAAAGTACAAACATCCGGTCACAGTAATTTCCGAAAAGAAAAACAGTCCAATCCACTTGTGCATTAAGCCGGCCCACACGTTCACTTTGGGGCTGCCCCTCTCGTACTCACATGTGACATGCGGATTTGACTGCCCCAAAGCCTGCAGTTATGCCTGTATACAACTCCATTGACATGGAGCGTCGCCTCGTCCGAGAAGCACATTTGACGGAAGAAATCGAGTAACGCATGTCCACAGGGAAGTTTGTGCGTGCTACTTGGTCACTCGATGTTAGTGCATGAATCACTTGAATCTTGTGCGGTACTCTCTTAGAAGGAGCCTTTGTGTAGCACATCGTGCACTGTTGAACGCGGTGTTTGTAACTGCAAGTTGGCAGCACGAATTGATTTGCGCGGACTTTGCTGGAATGACTCTCTAATGCAATTGACATTTTCTTCAGAGGTCCCTGTCTTTCCAGGAGATTTTACACGCAACAGACTACCTGTAGTCCTCAGTACCTTGTCCCAGAACCGAATGCTTTTCCATATAGGAGATTGACATCAATATTGCCTTCTAATGAGATACTGGACAGCTGTAGAGACTGCAAATCTCTAGCCAGAACACGCATTTAGCCTGTTCCTGTGGTGTCGATATTGTTACTGAGCTCGCCAGTGGCCACCAGCTGGAGCATGAAAAGAGCGTTCCGTGTGACATAACTCGGATACGTGTATGGCAGTTACTTTCAGAGATACACATTTTTTATTCTGTGTACCTTTCATCCGGACTTTCAGTGTTATAACGATTTAATACTAACATCACAATTTTATACTGAGCTTGTTCAATTAAGCTTTATTTATTAGATCCATTTTATTATTATCCTCCATCTGAAAAGTACAATCATGAAGATGCAATCTGCATCGAGAAGCGTGAAAACAGAGACAACGGTTTGATAACAATGCCCGTCAAAGTGTCTGGCGTGAGAAGGGTGAAGTGAGTCATGTGGGAGATTGCATCACGAGGCAATGCAGGTCATCAGGTTTTAGTAGGATGACGAGGGACACAAGAAGTGCATAAAGAATGTTGTTGGTGCAACGTCTTGGAGAACGTCCAGTTGGTAGACTGAGAAGGAAATGAAGCCATAACTTCGACAACATTAGGACATATGTAACGGAGACAATTTGTGCGGACAGAAAGGCAATGGAAGGGCTCGGAATCATGTCCTGCGGTGGGTATTGTTATTAGCGGTGTTGAGCATTCAGGTTCTGCTACCAGAAAAGTACTAAGACGGCTTTTAAAAAATAGACTACGGATGGGAGATGTAAAACAATAGATCATTGAAGGTCGCAGTGCGAGGGCCGGTTTCTATGGCTCACCCCTCATATTCATGGGAGATATATGTCACTGGCTCAGACTGTGTCCAGTTGTGGGCTTTGGTAATAGCTAGGGTTACTATGCATCCTAATTTTTCAGGACATGTCCTCATTTTCCAGGGGTAAATTACCGTCCGGGAGGAATTTACAAAATTAAGGCGAATGTCTGGAAGTTGGCCGTATTTCAATTTTCTTCTCCTTTTTGCCTAGCATCTTTGCTTTATTCATGTATCTTCTCCTTGCAAAGGGAGTATTCATTTGACTAATCGGTGTTCACTTCCGGTTCCTTAGTCTGGACTGCAGGATTGCTTCGCTTGCCTGTTGGTTTTCACATGTGTTGTAGAGTCGTTTAACATCGTGTCGTCATAAGTTGTAATCTAAAATAAGCGTGTTTTGTGATTTTAAACAATTAAGGAAATCAATAACAGGTAGGAATAGAGATACTAAATTAGAACGGTACGATATATAAGCGTACTCTTAATCTTATATGCCGATTTTTTCCTTAGCTTTTTATATCACTACTTCAAGAGAATACTGCCGAAGAGAAAGTGCAAATTCACAGACGAATTGAAGAAAAATACCCGTGTTTTCGCTCTGGTCGCGTGGAATGCGAAGCAGAATGCATGATCTGTACTCCAGGGACGTATGGCTCAATAGCCAACAAAGGAAGCGGGTATTTAAAAATTCGTATGAAGTCCGAAAAACATTCTAAGAATGTTAGAGGGGAGAGTTCTTCCGAAAAATTGACTAAATATTTCATGACTAATACCAAAATTGACGAAAATATATGTGCTGGTACGGCTCGATTTGTATGTATGGTGTCCTCATTTTTAAGTTTCAAAACATGGTAACCCTAGTACACGTAATAGCGGTGTTGAAGCTTCGGGAGCTTAGAGACTTGATAGCAAGATTCATCTTAAATGGGAGACAGGTTCTTAGAAGGGGAGGTGCATGAACTGGCTAAGAATCGTATGCAATGGTGGGCTCTCATATTAGCGCTGTTGGACCTTACGATTCTGCTACCAGAGGAAGAGTTGATTATTGCAATTAATCTTAGGCGGGTGTAGGTCGTAAGGATGTAAATGGCATGGGATCGTTTCCAGTGAGAGACTTTATTACTGGCAGTGTTGAACCTTCGGGTTTTGCTGCAGAGAGTTCGTTATGTACGTGTACACACGTGGAGAGACATACACGGTTGTGTGCCACAGATGGAAGTTTAAAAATTCTTAATAAAATTTGCGGCTTGACACTTTCTCCCCAGAAAATGGAGTGCTGGCGCCAGAGGTGCTTTCTGACCGCCGCAACAGGAAAACAACAGGTTCGCCTTGTCTCCTATGTAGCCCATCTGTAATGCAGTTCCTATGGTACAGGTACGTAAAAAAATAAATTTATCTATATTCGCCCTTGCAACTGAGAAAGACTGCCATTTTGGTTTCTTTATATGGTGAAGAGACCGCCTCTGTGGTCTAATTGTCAGAGGTCCTGGGTTCGATTACCGACGCTACTAGATTTTCTGAGAAGTAGCGGATCGAGGTCCACTCAGCCTCGTGAGGATAACTGCGGAGCTCTTTCAAAGAAATAGCGGTTCCGGTCTAGAAAACCGGATTAACTGTCGTGGGGATTCGTTGCGCTGACCACGTGACACCATCTATCCGCAATAGTTGGCACCAACTTCGCCGACAAGCGGCGATCCCTCGGTCGGTATAGTTCGCTTGCGGACTACAGACCACGGAGTTTGTTTGGTGAAGAAAAATAAATTTGTTCAATGTACGAAGTTTCAATTATTTAACTCTCTAGAGTGCTGTACCGACTGCTCTAACATTGAAGACTGTAGGGGTTGTACTTACTGTGTTTCTGAAATTGCGTCACCATCAGATAGTAATGTAAATCCCCATGTCGTCATTACAGAAATAGCTACATTTTATATTAACGTAAAATGGGACCTCAAATCAACGTGTCGTTCAGTAAATGGGGGTTTTCTTCCTTAAGATGACAAACCCACAAATATGTCTTAAATAGAAAATGCGCAGAATTTCCAAAGGCGTTCTTTTCAGTTCATTACGATTACGTGCTGTTTCTTTATAACATCCGAATAATGATTTCTTTTATACACAAGAAATTCAATGTAAGTTCTTGCATAAAATTGGCTGTGTTGGGATAGTGCGATTGGAATTGGAAATGACCAGCTAATTTTCAGTGAAAGTCTTTCATATCGAATTACATCTCAAAAAGATACTCGACCGTCTACACTTCTCGGTGCTCGAGGCTGATTTGGGAAGTTTATTTTTTCGCGCCTCGCTAGAGTGAGAATAGAAAACTAATCTGTATAATAAAAGTAATTTTAATATCTTAATACTATAATTTATCCAATAAAAATATAAAGTCGTAAAACAGAAAGATGACGATGTTTTATTACAAACATCAATTTAAAAAGCTTATGGAAGTACTTGTACAGGTGTCCAATCTATTGGTACTCCTCAGCTTCTCAAAGATTTCATTCCCCCAATACTTAAATTTGTCTGTGCGTGTATCTAAAGATTATATTTTTCAGTTCCTAAATTAATATTTTGATTTTTTATAATTCATAGTATTTATCATATTTTTATAAACTTTACTTAAATAGCGTATTTTCTTATCAACTGCATTATTTACATTTATTTCAAAGGATATTTAAGGCAGAGGTTAAAATATGGTTACACTGAAGTTTTTACTCGTCTAAATTAAATTTATAAGGCAGCAGTGTGTCGAAAATCGCGTATATTAAAATATGCTTCAATGAACACTTGGAACTTGCTGCGGACTTTGTTCATTTCTATAGCAGTTTCGTAATTTGGGCACCCGTTGCTTTCTGTCGCATAATTTCTCATGAAGGGAAGTAATACGCAGAAACTTAAAAAGAAAATTAGAATTTAGAAATTGTCTACGTCACGTAGCAACGCTCTTCATAGACTGAACGTTTCGATCCTGTTTCCTACATTTTTGAACCATGTAACTAAAGGGCAAACTTGACTCGGTTGAGTCTGTTGTTTCCTTATTTTATTTTGTTTGTTCAAGCAGTTGTATGATTTGTTTGTATTGTTGCATGCACATCTCGAGAACAAATGAAAAAGTTTTCTTTGCTTGTCGGTTTTATTCAGAAGTCTAAAATTGTCTTGGCATTTAAAGGAAGTGCAAAAAATTACTCTCAGTATTTCGTTAGTCAATATTTATTATTATGTAAGATTTGAGGTTTTATGGGGGTGACTATGAAGAAAGCAATCTTCTGTGGAGCCGTGTAGATAGTGTGTTAACCGACGTTTCGGAGGAACGTCGGTTAACACAATATCTACACGGCTCCACATACCAGAAGACTGTTTTCTTCAATATTTATTATTGTTTGTCTAAGATTATATACTTACATTTTTAAGATCCTTACCATGTGTATGCAAACAAACTGTTGAAGTAAGGTTTATAGCGAATAAACCCCGTAGCTATAAACTTAACGGTATGAGCGTTACAGTATCTGTATCTCATTAAACACTGTTGCTCTTGCTAGCCCTTCAATCAAACAGATTAACTGAAAGAAGAGGAATGAAAACTGAAGATTGACGATGAATTTTGAAGGTGATGAGTTTGTAACGAAAAACAATTTTTGTAAATTTCTTAAAATTTGCTCCGTGTCATTTGTTTTAATTTAAATGATCATTCCACGTCTCAAAATTTGAAGAAAATCCGCCTGTCAGGATGTAAATTATTAGCGAAAGTAACGTTAGAACTCACAGTGCATAAATAGACTCTGTGTGTACTTCCCACTCACAAGAATACACCGTATATTTTTCCTTGTCCCATTGATGATCCAGAATGAAATCCACTGAATGAAGGAAAGAAATAGAAAGGAAATATTAACAATGAATTTAAATGTGACAGGTTTATAAAGAAAAGTACAATTATTTTATCAGTCCAAAAATTTGCTTTCTCTCGTTCATTTCAATTTAATTCAACATTACAATTATCAAAGTCCAAGTATATCGGTCTATTTAGAGCAAAAATACGTTCAAAGCTACAAAACAATTAGGCAACCACACCGCACGCTCTTTTATTAGGATAAATGTAGAACTGTTGGTGTCTAGATACACGTGTATGGCTCGACAGAGACTACAGCTGTAGAATACTTAGCACAGAATAAGAAGTACTTGACTTGAACAACTTGCATTGGTCTGAATCGAATTCATTTTTCTTTTATAATTCAAAAAGTAATATTTTGTTACGCTCTCGAATGTTTACCCCTTAAGTGTAGGAGAAACGTGAGGTCATCGCAATTTAGAAAGAAAAAAAACAAACTTTTCCTTCGTAATCCTTCAAACGTGAGATAAACGTGAAAAACTCAGATCAAAGGAAGAGAAAGGGGAGGGAAGGGGAGGGAAGACAACTTCCTAAAAATTAACCTCTTGAGGACGAGATGACATTTTTGTGGCTTAAACAGACGACACACGATTTGACGTCTTGTGTCACAGAAGGGAAAGATGTCGTTCATGATCCTTGAAAGATGCAAACATAGACGAAATTAGTATTCTATGACCTCGAAAGTTGCTTAAGGATAGGTCTATCAGACCTCAGTTTACTTCTAAGATAATTCAATATCTATGCCATCTTCTTCTTATTGGTATCCTACAATTTGCATCAAAATTCAAGATCGACGACTTTTATTGGAGAAATACTTAACGAGGGGCATATATAGAAAGATCTCCTACCAAATAAACTTAGTTTCTTAATGATTGAATAATAATGAGCCAAATTATGGAATCATCACGACTAAAAGGGTTATAAGTAATAATCACCACTCCCGTTTCACGAGTCATCTTGAAATTTGTTATTTTCTTGGCCATATTTCATATAGATCTCAGGTACGAAATTTCATGAAAATTCGTTCAGCTCTTCTCGAGTTTTTCTTGCGTACAGACCGACGGAGAGACTGACATACAAACAGACCGGAAGAAATTGCGAACGCGCCTAAAATTTCATTTAAATTATTCTTCACTCTGCCCCCCTTCAACTGTGCAGCTCGGGAGCCTGCAACGCTTGCTTTTGAAAGCGCGATCCGCTGTAACCGAAGCCAACTCTTCTCCGGAGTGCATAAAAACATCTAAGTCACGTGTCACTGGTGTGAATGAATTTCTTACCTCGCCGTATTTCGCCGCTGGATATGTTTCTCCAGACATACCAGATGTTCCAAGAAGTGAAAAACACTTTAGTCTCATGGGTTCTATAACAGTCAGAATGGGTTCGTAACGCCGTTCCATGCATTCGCACTATTCAGGTATCCAAATATTTTGCCATTCATACTGATTTGGCATATCAAAATTCATAGCCAATATATTTACAAATATTCTTTCCTCCTGTTGCAAAAATAAGAGCATATCTTCTTCAAGTCCATATACACGAATCAGCACTTTTCCTCTTGGCAACCATCTCATTTCTGTGTGTAAAATTAAACCTCATATCGTGAATCAGTAGTTTTAGACAGCTGTCTGCAGAGCCGTGTCTTTAGAGGTCTTGATTTCACAGAATTAACCATGCCAACACATGGTCTAAAAGAAACTTCAATTCGAGCCGAAGAATATTTCCAACAAGGACTTTCCTACGCAGATAGGAAAGGGTAATATTGTATTTTGAGTATGTTGGTTTAGACGTGCGACGAAGGCTTTTACAGACACAATGTGGATGAAGCACAGGCGGTGCAAACTCCCTCATATGACTTCAAAGAAAGTTATAAACGTTCTGAGTAGGATTTAAAATATTGAATATATCTTGACCTCTTGTTGTTTCTAGGAGTTCTCTGCAGCTCAGAAATTGACTGATTATTTCATTTTGTGGATGAAGCGAATAACACGCCAACAGTCGTGTTTTGCAGCTAGTATCGGTGGAGTCGTCAAATTGCATAGCAAAATGTGACAATTTAAGTTAATCAGATACATCTCCGCTGCGTCGGAAGGCATTTCTTCGTTCCTTATTCAGATCTGCGACAATCTAAAGCGGAATTTTGGCAGTTTCTTTTCCCACTATATGACCGCGCATTGCCCTAGCAATGGTGTGGCACACGGACAAAATAAGCGACTCAGCTATAATAACTGGATTAATTGTGATACTATGCTTTCTGCCACTTGGCAAGAAAAAACTTTAACTTGTCGGATGGACTTATTTTCTTTTCAAAATAGTGTGTTTCGATTGCATTCCCATCATTCGTTTGAATCAGTTCGATTTTTCCCTTCGAGATGTATATGTTTTGTGGTAAAATATTATTTAAGTTTGCTCAGAAATGTGACTTGGTTTCCCAAGTTTTTGCCGCAGACAACACAGAGTGGAAGCAGAATATCTTTACCAAAAACCAAGA